GAGCAGGGCAATGGAAGCTGGCTTGGGGCGGGGGGAGGGGGGAGTCATTTGGGAAGGAGGTAGGGTCCCCTGGGGAAGCTGGGAGCCAAGAACTTGTCCTCCTTCCTCCCAGCTCACCCTGTGCAGCTCCTGCCTGACCCTCTCAGACAGGGCCCTGCACAGGGCCCCAAGGCTGTCCCTTCGGCATCCTTGATTCAGGCCAGCTTCCGCGCCACACTGCTGCAGGCTCCGTGGGTCAGAGACCCTGTCTGCGCCTGCCTCTGTCCCTCTCCATGGTCCTGGACAGGCATTCCATGAAGGCTCACACACAAGCACACGTACACTCAGAATCAGGGTGTATGCGCCAAAAGGCTCACGGTGTTTGAGATGATGTAATGGAATGATCTCCCCTCCCTCTGTGTTTATGGAATCTTTGTAATAAAATGTCTAAATCGAGAAAGGCTTGATGGGCTGCTGGGTGAGGTTCACTCCTGAGACGGTCTCTGGAACAAAGGGGAGCCAGTCTGATGGGCACTGACCCCATCCCTCCTCACCAGTGCCAGGCTGCCCCAGGCCCAAAGAGGTCATGACCCAAAGCCGCACCCTGCCCTCCTGCAAAGTAACGCTTGGGGCCAGAGGTCAGGCAGGCATTCCGAGGGAGCCAGACTCACCACGAGATCGTCACAGGAGCGAGGACAGGGAGGGCCACAGGGGCTGTACTCAGCCCCTTGAATGGTGGTGCAGTTGGTCACTGGGGAAGGGGACAGGGTGGGTTGAGAGCCATGTGGGTGCCGCCCACCCCAGCCCATCTCTCCATAGTGTTCCCTGACCCCTGTGCCCCGTTCCTGGCAGGTACCTGGGCATGGCAGGGCCTGGCAGGCCTCTCCCTGGGCCCGAGGCCCCTCGCAGTAATCCCCCAGGCCCTGGGGTGGGGGCTGGTCACAGGCTCGCATCCGGCTCCGCAGGCCCCCCCCACAGCTCCGGCTACAGCTGGACCAGGGCCCCCAAGGACCCCAGCCCCCAGCTCCTGGGATGACAGCAAAAGAGCAGCTGGGGGAGGGGCCGGCCAGGGCTGGGGGCCAGCTGGCGCAAGGCAGCAGGTATCCACAGGGCATGGAGGGCACCATCCTGGGCACCACGGGACTCACGGTCACATGCTGCCAGGAGGCAGTGCTCTTCCTCAGCATCGGAGCCTGGGCAAAGAGGCGTAGGCAAGGTCAGTGGGGACGGCAGCCCCAGGATGGATGGTTCCGCTGTGGGGGGCCTGGTGCAGAAACGGTGCCGGTGGCGTCGGGCAGGGCCACAGGAGGCCGAGCACTCGCTCCACGGGGTCCAGGGGGACCACACGGGCTGACCTGGGGTACAGACGAGGGAAAGGCCGAGAGAGAGAGAGGATGAAGTGAGCACAGGCTGGAGGCACTGGCCTGGGCAGAGCACCCCTTCTCCCTTCCCCCAACTCTGCCCCTGGTGGGGAGCAAGCAGGGGGCACAGTCAGGTGCAAGGCCCCTTCCTCACCCTCCTCACAGGGCCAGGAGGTGCAGTTGGTGATGAGCCCAGAAACACAGGAGCTGGAAGAAAACAGCAGAAGTTCGGAGGCGCTGTCACAGGCTGAAGTGTATTCCCCCAAATTCACACGTTGAAGCCCTAACGCCCAGTATTCAGAATGTGACCTGATTTGGAAACGATGTCTTTATAGAGATGAGCAAGTCACAGTGAGGGCACTACGGTCCAATATGACTGGTGTCTTTATTTATTTACTTGTTTGTTTATTTATTTATGTTCATTTATTTTTGAGAGACAGAGCATGAGCAGGGGAAGGGCAGAGAGAGAGGGAGACACAGAATCCAAAGCAGGCTCCAGGCTCCCAGCTGTCAGCACAGAGCCCAGCACGGGGCTTGAACCCATGAACCATGAGATCATGACCTGAGCGGGTTGCAGGAAGGCAGCTACAAGCCAAGGGACGCCAAGGCTTGCCAGCCACCACAGAAGAGAAGGTTCTGGAATGGATTCTCCCTCCCGGCCCTCAGGAGGAACCACCCTGCTGACTCCTTGCTCTTAGATTTCTAGTCTCCTGAACTGTCAGAAGACAAGCCCCAGGTCTGCTGTGTGGTTGTTGCAGCCTCAGCAGACAGAGACGCGTGGGAAAAGAAAGGTTGGTGGGGATGGTGTGGACACAGGCCCCAGATTGCTGACCGGCTGTGCCTGTGGGCCCAGGGGGATGGCCCACTGGAGGCCATCATCCCCAGCACTGAGGAGGGACAGCAGGGTGCCCCCGGGTCACGGGACCATCGGGTGGGGTGGGGGTCTTACCAGTTCTCACACGGACGAAGCACCACGCTGCCCGGGGGATAAAGGCGCCCCCCATGGGCACAGGGGCAGTCCTGGGAGGGCACACACACGTTGTTCTGGAATCAAAAACCATCATTTTCTGGATTCCAGGTGGGTCTGGCCTAACCCGCTCCCCGCAGTCAGAACCCAGCACCCCTCAGGCTCCCACCCTCCAACGCCACCCAGCCTCCTTCCACAAACACCTGTCACCACCCTGTGGAAAACCCGCACCAGCAGTTACAGAAGCCGTGGGGGAGGGGCATGGACCCCCCCCCAATCTCTGGGAGGAAAAAGACCATCTCCAATTGCAGGACATGAGACCGAACTGTCAAATGCCCATGAAATCAGCCAACAAAATACGAAACACGTGATCCATATAGCAACGATGTTTTAAAAAAAAAAAAAAAAAAAAAAAACAACTCTATGTTTTCATCAAAAAAATTAAAACCGATGAAATCATGCATACAGGAAGTTTGGAAATTATGCATACAGGAAGTTTGGACAAAAGTTGCTAATGCTTCAAATTAAAAACAAAAACAAAAACAAAAAAAAACAAAACTGCCACCCATCAGTACACGATTCAAAGTCAAACGTAGTGAGGTGTGGGCCAGGCCCTGGGAGGCCCTTTCACCATTTCAGAGACCCTGATGAACAGACACATTATTACCCCAACTTGACAAATGAAGAAACGGAGGCATGGGAGCACGCATCCTAAGGTCACAGGGCTGCTAGAAGAAGAGTCTGATTTGAACTCAGACCCCGCTGGACTCTGGCCCCTTAGCCACACCCCACATTCCGGAAATTTATCCCTGTAAACCCTCCCCACCACCCCACAAGCTTCTGTCCAAATTCCACTGCGCCCGCCTCACTTCCCTGCCTTCCAACAGCAGTGCCGCCTCCAGCTCTCCACCCCCTGCAATCTCTGACAGTCAAATCAGGATCACCTCCTCCAGGAAGCCTGCTGTCACTCACCCAGTCCCCGCCAATCTGCATTTTGAGCTCCACAGTATGCAAAGCTCACTTCCTGTGTAAGGATGGTTCTACCTCCATTCTAGGCGCTCTGGGTCTGGTTTCCCCAGACCAGAGGCTTCATGAGGGCGGACTTTACTTTCTCCCCATGGTGGAGCCCCCATCGCAAGACTAAGCATGCAACAGGTGCTCAATAAATGACTAATGATAACATAAGACAACAGAGCACTCAAGGAGGCATGAATCACAAAGATCTTGTAGACCTATCACCATTTCACAAATGGGAAAAGAGAGGTCCAGGGAAGCATGACCGTGTCTCACCCAGGGTCACCTGCTGGCTGCTGGCAGAGCTGAGCCATGACCCCTGAGTTCAGTGCTTTTTCCTCAACTCTCAAGCCCCACACCCTTGGTTCTCCCCTGCCCAGGTCGCTGGGAGGTCAGGTCAGGGAAGACACTCACCAGCAGGAACGTCCCAGGTGGACAGTAACAGCCAGGGTGGCAGGTCTGGTCAGCCCCTTGCAGGACACTGAGCTCTGCACACGAGGCAGGGCCCTGGGCACAGTCCAGCCACCGCTGGCCCCCGGGACACACGCCAGGCACCGGCCCTGGGGTCACAGAAATTGATAACTAGCCCAGGCACAGTAAACTCTTTCCCGGGCTCCTAACCCAGGAGAGGCATCGGCTCTAGATGTGGCCAGGGAGGTCACAGGCTGCATGGCAGCTCAGGGAGAAGGGTTCCTGGGGTGACAGGGAGGGGTTGACAGGGCGCTGGGTTGGGGGGGATGACTACTGGGGGTACGGGAGCAGTGGAGGAGGTGGGGACAGCCCTCACCTGCACAGGGCTGCAGACCACAGGTGGAGAAGTCCACAAGGCTGTGCGGGCCACTGCCTCGGGTGCGGTTCCGGTAGCCACCGCCGCAGGGCACGGAGCACGGAGACCAGGGGCCCCACTCCCCACGAGGACCTGGAGTGGCAGCCCAGGTCACTGCGGGCCCTACCTCCCATACCCACCACAGCCCTCTCCTCCACCCAGACCCCTTCTTTCTCGAACCTACAGGATCACAATCCATCCCAGGAGACCTCACTCCTCCCTGGCCTGGAGCAGGGCTGGCCTCCACGGAGGACCCCTCTTAGGGAATGACTCTCGGGGCTCTCTGGGGACATCCTCCTGGCATCTTTTATGCTAGGCCCTTGTACCACTCTTGGGGTCTGGAGGGGGGAGTGAGTGGAGTGTTTCCTGGCTCTTCTCTGGGGGATTCTGAGGACCTCAGTCCCAGCTCTCACCCCGACATGGCCGCAGGCTGCAGAATTCGGCCTCCATATTGGGGCCCTGGCACGCAGCACCCCCAAAGGCAGCTGGGGGTGCGGTGCCCGCCCGGAAGCGCCGCCGAATGCCCACGTTGCAGCTGTGGCTGCAGAGACTCCAGGGGGTCCAGGGGCTCCAACCACAGGCCACTGCCAGGGTGGGTACGGAGATGGGCACAGTGGGTGTGAAGCCAGGTCAGGTCATCCCTGGTCCCCAACTTCCCTGGGGCACCATCGACATCCCCAGGAGTTGATCTAAAGAGGCCAGCATCCCCTGTGGTCCCTGAGGACCCACCACTGCTGATTCCTGGGCATCGGGGTACCTGGGCAGGGCTCTGAGGTGCACACCATCTCACCGGAGATACAGGTGCTGCAGAAAGAGGACCCATCATGGCCACCATCAGGCCCCGCCCCTTGGAGCTCTATGTACCTGCCCCCAGGGGGACACGGCCGGCACACCACCGAGGCCGGGCACAGAAGTCCAAGGTACAGAAGTGAAACCCCGCAGAAGGGTCTAGAAAGTAAAGCCCCGTGGCCCCCTTGAACTTCATGAGGTGACTGAGGATTCTCACCCAGGCCCTCCCGCCTAGCTCCACCCTCCGTGGGCTCCCTGATGCCCCAGGCACTGTGCTGTCCTTTGTCCCACACTTTTATCCAGGAGTCACCTTTACGTGCTTTCCTTTCCATCTGTATTTATCACACAGTTTGGAAAGGACTTTGAGCAGCTCTACGGGGCCAGGTAGGAGCCATTTCGAAAGAGTACACCCCAGTGTGAGCCTCTTGGAAAGAACAGTGTGCTTTTCTCTCCTTTTGCTTTTCTCCAACAAACGTGTTCAAGTTGCCCCCCGTCCAATACGTGGAAGTCCCAGAAAAAGCATCGAAGAAGGAAAAAGCAAAAGAGAAAGAGGTGGGGGAGAGGAAGCATGAAGGGGACTGTGGGGGGGG